CGATGCTATATAGGGAAAACAATATATTTATTTATCAGAGAAAGAGAGAGAGAGTCGCACAGACCAGGAGTTAGAAGCGTGGCTGGCTTCCAGCAGAAAAAGGGAAGCCCCTTTTCCTTTCACTTCGTTTTATCTACCTTGACCCCGCCCTGTTGGGCGGATAGCTTTGTGGGGTTCACTCCTACACCCATTTCTTTTCAGCTATGAATGATACTTCATTTTATGGACTGACCCACTCATCAACTGAAGGATATCTTGGTTCCTTTCAAGTTTGGGCATCTGTTATTGTTTTAACAAAAAAATTATTGGTATACATACATGACAAGAATTTTTGAATTCCAACATGATCTCTCCATCTTACAGAGAGATATAAAGCCATGGTAAATGCATGATTCATATTCATCTCCTCTGAAAGCTGACAGGAGATGGTGTGCACACGTAACTCTGTTTCCAGTTCCGTGACAGCATTTCTCTGGGCACCATGGATAGCTACACACAGGAAGGCCTGGGGAATATTCTGAAAGCAGCTACTGAGAGGTGGCTGTGTCTCTTTCCCGGTGGCCTTGTTCAATTATTTCTCAAGGTTCTCCCACTGGAAAGAAACAGGAAACAAATGAATGAGACTTACCAATTTTTCTAATTAGGTTATTTTCAAGATAGAGAATTTTTAAGTCTCCGCATCATTTGTTGATATGTTCCGGTCTATTTCCTGCTGACGCAAGGAGAGTTCCTCCAGGGGAAAAGTGACACAGTCATTGTGCTCAGCATCCTGTCTAATAAGATCTTCAGTGACTGAAAGAAATTTTGCAGCATATTATATCCCCATTTCCATTGTTCAGTGTCGGGTTATTGTATTATTAACAGGGTAGAGTTTCTTTGCAGCTAAGTGTTGAGTCTTTGGGCCCAAGCAATTTTTCACACAGTGAGATCAGACAAATGTTGTTTGCTGTCCACTTCATGGAGTCTGTGCAAAGTCATTATGTGGGGCAAATAAAACAGACACAATGAAACCTTCGGTCTAGTTTATCTCCGTATGTGTAAGATCTATGTAAGTTTTGCTGTCTAGGTGGAGGGAGAATTGACAGTTGACAGCTGTAAGAATGTGAATATAGATTCTCCTGGTGGAACCAGACCAAACTGGTGAGATCCATTATTGGACTGAAGACGGAGCAACTGAGTCACTGACAAAGGACAGAACATAATACATTTCTGCCATCCAATAAGGAAGGCCACTCATCATTTAATCAATAATTGTGCAACTGAGCTTCAGAGAAAGAAAAGGACACCCCAGATTCCAGATCTTGCATTTCAGACTTATAAAGTAACACTTACCTGCTCTATTTCCTGGAGGAATAAAGGAGAGAGAGAGACAGAGACAGAGACAGAGACAGAAAGAGACTATTGATGTGTTGTAATGATTTAGCATCAGTATTCTCACCTCAAATGATCCCTCAAGAAAACACCTCACAGGTGTGTTCAGCTGCTTGCCTTTAACCAATTCCACCTGCAGTAAAGTTAACAACCGAGATTAAGTATTACAGTTTAACCAATAGTTTCTAAAAATAATTCTACTATTTTCTCAAAGAAGATGCTTTATATTTATAACTCTACTGTTTGTCTTAAAACATTTAAGCTTATATTAAAGCTCAATTATTTATTGTTTTAAAATATAAAGCTTCCTGTGGCTTTTGGTGCTGTTTATCATGACAGTAATTTAAAAATTTTCATTTCTTTCTACTTGCACATTTATGATTGACCCTGTAAGATACATTATATTTTATTGTTTCTATCTAGTGTGAATGTTATATATTTTTATTTGTTCATTTGAGCTTTACAGATACTTTATTTTAATGTACATTATTTCTAATTTGTAGTTCACATTCAAGGCCAAATATTCAAGATAGAAAAGAATAGGGAATAAAATTTAAAATGATAAATACTAAATTTACCATTGTGCCTTGTCATTGTTGAATTGCATCAATCCTGCAACTGTTATACACTTATTTCATAAGTGTATCTACTTTGTTTAGAAAAATTCAAATGTAATTATATCATTTCCTCCAGAATATTTTACTTATATTGTACTTTTTATTCAGTGATCATTTCAGATACTGCATTTTTGCCATTTTATATTTTTTAATTTCATTTGACATTCCAACAACAGTTGTCCCTCCCACACTTGCTCTAGCCCCAATATTGAATTTTTAACAGTTAAAATTATTTTATTTCTCTAGCCTTAAATTTGTGTTTTTCCAGTGTCACTCTTTAGCAATTGATGTTTTTGAAGACTACCTGAACATGATTGCTTTAAAAGCAGAAAGAAGTATTTCAATCACATTAAACTGAAAGTAGATTTCATGATAATTTGTAAACATATTTACAGAAATTTAGCAGAAAAAAACTTTAGAAAATTATCTGATTCTTCAGGAACAAGACAGCATGAAACACAGCCAAGATTATATTTACTTGATTATACAGCATGTCTTATTGTTAGTCCACTCTTATTCATTTTAATATATTTCTTGAGTGCATATGTATGTGTGTACTCACAAGGTAAACAGGTGTAAATAGACATAGTAATATAGAATCTGATTTTCAATTTTATTACTTAAAATGAAATATACATCAGAATATTTGGAGATCTGGAAAGCTTATATAAAATACAGTGAAAAGACTTGAGATGTGGAGAAAAACCAGAAAAGCCTAAAATGTTTGAAGAATCATTTTTAAGGGAGGATAGTTTTGGGTTTCTAATGCAGATGATAGAATTAGACAACAAATTTAACTGGCTTTTTTTGAGTAGTGAGCTCCTTTTTAGTGACAGACATTGCCCTAAAGCAATTACAGTCACTTATTGGCAGAAAGTCAGAGGCTGACAAGTCATTTCTCTGACTGAGTCTGTCAGTGCCAAGAAATCTCTGGATTTCAGATGTATCTATTACCTTATTACAGTAACCAGAAAAATTACATTTTTTTACTCCCATAAAAATTATTTCAGGAAACAAAATTACTATTGCTCAAGGATTACTACATGTCTCTAGAGGCATATTTCTTCCCCAGTTGAAAGGAGCTTTCTGAGATGAGCTATAAATCTCTGTATTATACTGCCTTAGGCTGTTGCAGTTGTGTGGTTGACAACAAGAAGGGCAGAGACAAGTTAAAATTGTACTACAGATATTTTCAATATGAAGACTCATAGGAGAAGATGAGATGATACATACAAACTAAAGAATACTAAATTTGATGGAAGTAAAGGAAAGTAAAAGAAGTCAAAACTGTAAGTGCTAAATATGGATTATGAGAATATTGTTTACAGACATAATTAATAAATGATTTAATGAAAAAATCAACAACTGAAAGATGAGCAAAAAGAAGTTGTTGTCTCAGTCTGGTTGGAAACTCCATCCAGCAGAGGGAAAGTCTCTTTGCCCACTTTTCTGTCTTGATGACTTCAGCTGTACTGGTTTTGGGTAATCTTTCAAGGACTTGGGTCAGACAAAATCTGATAAAACAGGGACTTGTATTCTAACATTATCTGATCCTGTATAACCCCTTTCAAGTTTTCTACTTAAAGAGTATTTACCCATTAAATGAACAAATGTTTATTGACTATTAAAATTTGCCCTTAATGAAGAATGGAGTTACTAACAAAGTAACACAAAGTTTTGCTTGAAACTTATAGCAATTAGTGAGACAAATGTTATGAGTTAAAATAAAGACAAAAACAACTGTGCATACCTATTGTTCAGGGTTTGAATGGCATATTTTTTAGGTAATGTTGAAGTAGTAAAGATTTTTATGTAACTAACTTGATCTTTCACCCAAAGTGGTTCTCCTATGAGATACTTAGAAATCTGAAAACACTTCTTTATGAGGTACAGCAGTGGTAGAAATTCATTTAAAAAGTTTACAGGTGTTCTGTGTATGAGGACATAAATTCTATACAATGCCATAATAGAACTCCTTTTGTACTTAAAATTCTAGAAATGAAAATAATTTGAGGGGCATTCACTTCTTTGCTCAATCACATAGCTTACAAGTGGTAAATTTTTACTAATATTCACTGGTGGGAAATTATCTTAGTGATTAGGAAGAAAATGACATGTAACACTGAATCTGAACCATTCTGCTTAGATTTTGAAATTATAGCAGATTGTGGACAGTATTATCCTGTTCCACTGTGTTTGTTAAATGTGAAAGCTAAAAACACTATCAATTAGTAGACACCAAAAAAATAGGATTCTTAAAATCAAAGTGACTCGTTTAAAAGATGTTTTTAATTTAGCAGACCTCATCAGGGCCCCCATTTCTTCTCTCCAGTGAGTCCCAGTCATCCTTGTCAAAGCCACCCCATGTCCCCCGCCACCTTCAAGTTGGCAGCCTCTGTCAGTTGACTATTGTTACACAAAACACGCACCAACACACGTGTGTGCATTTGCACAAATGTGTATAAACTCAATCTTTTGGGTTCACGTTTGGCTAGTGTATATATGGTTGCAAGGCTGAACACTCTACACACTGGTTGAGTCCAGCAAAACACGATGCTAAATGGTTAATATGTTTAAGCATATCATAGTGTTTTCCCCTTCTTCTTGTTCAACCCTCCATCTATTAATTCTTTGTCTTTCCTCACCAATAAATAAACACCGAAATGGAGTGATGTTAGTATTTCACATTTTGGTGATGGTAATATTTTCTTGATTTTAGAAAAGAAGGTGAGAAGTTAATAACCTGCTTTTGTCTCCTGCTTTCAAATAGATTCTAAAATATTTAGTTTGTTTTTAATTGTTACTCCCAAACTTCTTAAAGTCTCCTGAAGGATTCATCATTACACTTATAAATATGCTAACCAAAATGCTAAAATAAAGCAAAACCTTAAGATAAAATTTATAAATTGTATTTTTCCTAATTATATTATTCATATTTAATTATACTTATTTCTCACATTTTATTCTATTTCTATACATGTATAATTAAATTAACACACTTAAAATCTCACCATAATTTTCTTTATGAAATAGGTATATTACAATGCCAGTGATGGTGATATTTTCTTGATTTTCATTTAGGTGACTTTACATTGGATACATGGCTCACAGTAATGAATCCACGGTATCTGAGTTTGTGCTTCTGGGACTCTCTAAATCTTGGGGACTTCAGCTTTTACTTTTTACCATCTTCTCTGCCATCTATGTGGCATCAGTCTTGGGCAATGTCATGATTATTGCTATAATTTTCTCTGACTCACATTTGAACTCTCCCATGTACTTCTTACTCAGTAACCTTTCATTCATTGATGTCTGCCAATCTAACTTTGCCACTCCCAAGATGCTTGCAGACTTTTTTGTTGAGCGCAAAACTATTTCCTTTGAGGGTTGCATGACCCAGATATTTCTTCTTCACAGCTTTGTTGGAAGTGAAATGATGTTGCTTGTAGCTATGGGATATGATAGGTTTGTAGCAATATGTAAGCCACTACACTACAATCTAATTATGAATAGGAGGTTATGTATAATGTTTGTGTCTATATCCTGGGCAGTAGGTATTCTTCATTCTGTGAGCCACTTGGCATTTACGGTGAACCTGCCATTCTGTGGTCCCAATGAGGTAGATAGCTTCTTTTGTGATCTTCCCTTGGTGATAAAACTTGCTTGCATGGATACATACAGAATGGAAATTTTGACGTTGGCTAACAGTGGCCTGATATCACTGAGCTGTTTCCTGGCTTTAATCGTCTCCTATATCATCATTTTCGTCACTGTCCGGCATCAGTCCTCCAGCGGGTCATCCAAAGCACTTTCTACACTAACTGCCCACATTACGGTAGTGATTCTTTTCTTTGGGCCTTGTATTTATTTCTACATATGGCCTTTTAGCAGACTGTCTGTGGATAAGTTCCTTTCTGTCTTCTATACTATCTGTACTCCTTTACTGAATCCTGTCATATATTCTCTGAGGAATGAAGATGTTAAGTCAGCCTTGAGGAAACTGAGAAACCGCCATGTAAATCCTGGGAAAAACTAAGGATCTCTTTGAAAGAGTCTCATATTGACTTAAAATCAAGAGCCTCCCGGATATTCTAGAATCATGCAAATTATCTTTGTTTGTGATAAAAACGGTTAAATTATGGAAATGAGCCATCATATGTTCACTGCTTGTCATATTGGCACACAATCCCATCTCCTATGTCATGCTTAATTTCCAAACGAAAGCAATATACACATTATAATTTTGCCCAACATGATATAACTATCCCATGTAAAATCACAAACATGTTGTTATGTGTTTACCTAGGCCATCATTACATCAAATGCAATGTAACTACCCTATGTACAGCTGTAAATGCATTACATATTTTAGAATAGGTAACAATGTCCCTTGAAGGATGTTTTAATATTCTATAATTTAAATATGATAACCACTGATATTCTCTTAACTGATGTTACCTTACATGATAAAGCAGTTGAAGAAAAAGACATAAATATCTGTACAAACACATTCTTAACAGGATATGACAGAATCATGAAAATTATAACCCTCATTCTAAAACAGGTCATAAGCTTTAGGTGGTATTTATAAAAGTACATACCTATAGTACCCATTATTTATTTTCTTCACCCTCAGCAAGCATCTTGGGAGGTCTTGGGTTTTTTTCCTAGAGGGGGTGAGCCAATCCACTATTCCTGAAGGGTTGGGGCTTTTTGTTAATCTGCTTGGATTAGATTGTTGCAGTCCCCATTGACTTTAATTACAGAATATGTTAACACTAAGAGTTACCTTAAAGATGTCTACAGACACTACAGACACAATTCTTCCTGCCTCCACTGTGGATAAACAACCCAAATTCTTCTTCATTATTCCTTCTTTAGCCTGTTGGAAGGGCATCAGAATCCCAAAGTGGCCATAGTGAGATTTCAGCTTTTAGTTCAACTAAATATTTGTTGTGTCTTCTGACAGAAGTGCTCTCCTCTCTGGAATGAAAGCTTCTATACCAGCAGAACTTAAGGTCATGGGAACAGGAAACTCAGATTTTCCTGAATCATTCCATTTTGTGCTCACTGATTCCTGGACTCTTGTATCTCAGTGTTAGGGGGAAAATCATACAATTTGTTGGATGATAATTCAAAGCATGCACTTCCTTCTGAAGAACACTGACTAACAACCTTCCAGACTGCTGCCAACAAATTGACTCTACAATTATGTCTTCAAAAGGCCCTTCCATTGTTCTGTCAGGCCACTTGCTTTAGGATGATAGGGAACAAGTAAGACCAGTGGATTCCATGAATGTGAGCACATGATTGCACTTCTCTGACTGTGAAGTGGGTTTCTTGATCAGAAGCAACACTGTGTAGAGTACTATAATGGTGGGTAAGGCATTCTAGAAGTCCAAAACATGATAGTTTTGTCAGAAGCATTATGTGCAGGAGAGGCAAATCTATAACAAAGCTAAGTATTCCCGGAGAATAAAGTGTTGTCCTTTCCATTAAGGAAGCAGTCCAATGTAGTCAACCAGCCACCAGATTCCTGGCTAGTCACCATAGGAAAATCTGTCATATCATGGTTTTAGCATTTGTCCTGGTGTTGATATGGCACTCAGTAGCAGCTGTAGCCATGCCAGACTTGATGAGGGGAAGTCCGTGTTATAGAGCCTATGCATGTCCTCCAAAGAGCCACTTTGATGATGGGCTCATTTGGGCAATTAAGTGGTTGAGGAACCCAGCTGGGCTGACTGTCTACAGAACAGATGATCCTATCTGATTATTGAACTCCTCCTTTGATGAAGTTACCTTTTGATGAGCATTTGCACAGGATACAAGTATCTTCATATCCTTAAGCAATTTGGAGAAATTTATTCACACATGTCTTCTGATTATGCTCTTTCTAAGTCTTTTACCACTCAAACAACCCATTGGCTAAAGCTCACCAATTGGCGAATATTTTCATAACTGGCCATTTCTCTTTCCAAACAAAATATATGACCATGAGTACAACCTGAAGTTCTGACCACAATAAAGATTTTCCTCCATCAGCATCTTTCAGGGTTATCCCAGAAAGGGATGGTAATACTTCAGCTGTCCACTCTGGGTGGTGTTTGCATAATGTGCAGAACAAACCAGGCCCTGGTCTTCTCTACCTCAGTCAACTGACTATGGAGCACACACTACGGTGCTCTAGGAGCATGCTTGGGGACAGAAGGCATTGTAACAAGAGGAGAAGTGGTATTTGGATAACTTCTTCATACAACTTGCTTGTGCCTTTAAGAACTTCTCATACCCCATCACCCAGAAACCATTTCTAGTCGATAATGTACTGCTGCTGACACAAATTACTTTGTGGCCTTTAGGGTCAGAGATTATCAGTAGAAGGAATATGTTATAATTCTAATACTGTAGAAGGAATAGTTCTGTATGTCCTATACCACTGAACGTAGTAGGTCTCTGAAATTTGGTTGGATTTATTTCTCATCCTCTTGTGAGTATACATGTTGTCAACAAGCCCAAAGTAATTGCTACCTCACACCCACTTGGTCAATTAGCAAAATGTTATTGACAAAGTGGGCCAGTGTGACATTTTGTGAAAGAGACAATCAAGAACACTTCAAACTAAGTCACTACAAAGGAATGAAGAATTAAAAATGTCTCTGAGGTAAAACTGCAAAGATATACTGCTGGCCTTGTCAACTGAAATCAAGAAAGTTGCTTCTGGTGGTCCTTACAGACAGATAACAAAACCAAAATCATTTGCTACATCAGTTGCTGCATACTACCTGCCAGTATGTGTTAAGCTGCTCTAGGAGGTACACACATCAGGTCCAGGGACTGCAGCCAGAGCCTCTACTTGAATGTGCTCTCCCCAGTCAACTGTCTTCTTCATGTCACATCTGTCTTCCGTAACTGTGAGATAGGAACGTTAAAGGGAGATGTGGCAAGAAACATCAGCACCTGAAAGTTTCAAGCCCTTGTGGGTGGCACTAATTTCTGCTGTTCCCCCAAGACTATGATATTTTCTTTGGTTCATCATTTTCCCTGGTAGAGGCAACTCCAATGGCTTCCATTTCACCTTTGTGACTGTAGTGTCCCTCACTATACAAGTCGGGGAACCAAACTGTGAATTCTCCTGACTTCTCCACATATCTTTCCCAAATACACATTCTGGAACTGGGGCAGTAACTGCACATTGGGTTCAAGAACCGCTGGACCTACTGTGAGCTGGGATTTGGACGGAACCCCATTAACTATCGGACCTCCATACGTTCCTACTGTAACTGGAGGGCCAGATGCTTCTTTGAGTCCTCCTGGAATCATTGTCAATTCTGAACCAGCATCCAATAGAGCCACAAAAGTCTGATTGTTTCCTTTCCCCCAGGGCACTGTTGCCCTCATAAGAAGCTGTAGGTCACTATGAGGAAGGATGAGAGAAAGACTAAAAGTAAAACTCTTAGGTATTTTAGCAAATTCCCTTCATTCAAAGGTTTTTGAACTCAAGTCAAAAAATCAGTCTACAGTTTGAAATTATCTCTTGCCAAGGATCCAAGGTAACCCCTTTGCCATTTTTTAGGTGGCAGTTCTTCTTATTTGCAGACCAAACAAAAATCCAGTAAGCTTGTTATTTCATGCCTGGAAGTAACATGACTGCCAGTTCCATAGGCAGCCAAGGTTTACCTCAGACTGGCAGCAGACTTGGTAGTGTAAGAGTCACCCAGTTGCTACTGGTTTTGAAGGCATGAAGGAGTATTGGAGAGCAGCTGAGGCTTGGCACTTTGAGAGACCATTGGTGACGATACATTCTCAGTGGCAGTTGAAGGCCCAGGTTTGAAGGGACCATGAAGACAACTAAGGCTTGGCACCATGAAAAGAACCTGGGAGAGACTATTGGTGACAACACAGCTCAGTCAGTTGCAGCAGAAGACCCCTACATTTTGGAGATGCCAGTATCATGGGATGACCATACAAAGAGCAGTTTCTGGGAGTGGAACCTGCCAGAACTTGGAAGACAAGCTGTGTATGCTACAGAGGGCAGAGCCCGAGAAGTGACAAAAACCTTTTGGGGAAGCCCAGAAGATCTTAAGTGAATCCCAGATATTAGAACTCGTTTTGATCTGATAGGGACTCTGCCCTGGTATTTATTTCTCTGTTCGAGTAAGAAAATAGTTAGCTTATTTTTTATTTCTCAGGACTCTACATTTAAAAGACTGAACTTTTAAAGAGAAGATAGGTCTTAAAAGAGAGTTTGGATTTTTAAAGAGGTTGAACTTTGAAAGTATTTGAATTTGTAAAGACTTTGGGAATTTTTAAGTTTGGAAATATTTCACATTGTGTTATCGATATGTTATCTTGGGGACTAGTAAGAAAAGAAAGGTTGTGGCTTAACAGCGATGTGTTTGTGAGTCAAGTTCACAAGGACTCAATGGTGCTAGATAGTTTCAGGTCAACTTGACACAAGCTAAAGTCATCTGAGAGGAGGGAGACTCTGTTAAAATAATGGTCCCAAGCCAGGTGGTGAGAGGCCCTCCTGCTGGACCTCTGGCCAAAAAGGAAGTTCACTGGTTGGGCTTCTCTGATCCTGCAGGTTTTTATCCCAACATCTGACTCCTAAGTCTTTATCGGTAACTAGAATGGTAGAGATTTAATTAAAAACTATGTTTTGCAGCAGCAGCAGAGCTGGTGCTGGTGGGCCTGTAATTCCTGCCAGGTCATGACCTGAGCAGTGGAGCACTGACCACGAGGCCACGGAGCCACAGATCATAGTTAAAGTTTTATCAGTAGATTCAGCGGCAGACACTAAGCTGATGGAAAAACAACAGAGGGCAAATAAAGAAACTAGCAATTAGGCTATTTTTCAGCCAAGGCAATCACTTGTAGGGAAAGAAAGGAAAAGCTTCTTGTAAGACAATGTGTTTTATGTCTCAAGCTATCAAATAGTCCTGGAGCCCCAAAATTCCTTATTCCAATCCTGGAGTTAGTTAGTGTTGTCTTGAAATTTTAAACAGAAAACTATAGCATTGTAGATGAAATGGGAAGATTTCTCTTGGTTCTCCATATAGCCTCAAATAAAAAAATACTTCTACAGAGTATAACAGAGAACGACGTCAATGGAAACACGCAGCAGAGAGAGAGAGAGAGACAGAGACAGAGACAGAGAGAGACAGAGAGACAGAGAGAGAGACAGAGACAGAGAGAGAGACAGAGACAGAGAGAGAGACAGAGACAGAGAGAGAGACAGAGAAAGAGAGAGACAGAGACAGAGACAGAGAGAGACAGAGAGAGAGAGAGAGTAAAGACATGTGGAGCGTAGACGTGGGTGTTACGTGTAACAGCCAAGGAGTCTTCGCAGACACTGAGGAGAAGCAAGGGTTTTCCTTTGGAGCCTCTGGGAGGACTGACACCTCGCTTACACCTGGGTTTTTAGCCAGTGATAAATAAATTTGGGCATCATCTGTAAGAGGTAGAAGAACAATTTCCATTGACAATGAACTCCAGAGTATTTTGTAAGCAATTTGTAACTACAGGAAACTAATCTATCCTTAATGAATTACCTCATTCACCAAGTAGCACACTTGACAGTTTGTGATTGCTTTTATGGCATAGAATATGGAGAAATCAAACTAATACTAAATTAGAAGTTTCACCCCTGCTGCTAACATTCATAGTGCTAGAAGGTGTTATACATGCTACCAGAGGGAACCCATCTACCAACCCTTCAAACAGCTGTGAACCACCTTCAAGATATATCCATTGGTACAATAGTGTCATAAACGTTAAGGAATAATCAACCATTTTTTAAAAACTGAAGTTAAGGCAGCTACATGATACGACCCATACCTGGCAGTGTTGAATCTCCAAATCTGACCAAGGGAAAAGCTACTATTATTGTACTAAATGAAAATAACAATAGAACAATACCTAATGACTTATTGCTATATCCATAGATTGATACATTGTTAAACTCTGATCAGAAAGCATACAGTAATTAACACAGAGACCTACAACTGGACTATGTGTAGAGAATGAGAGATTCTGGAGTCCTAAATGAGATGTATTTATCATACATCTACTCTTAAGGTTCAGGGGTCTATGCAGAAAAGGCGGCAGAAATATTGTAAGAGCCAAAGGTGTTGAATTATGTTAAAGCAATAGCATTTTAATAAAGTTTTCCAGATGAAACATGGCAGATGCCCAAGACCTCCAAAACTTCAAACCAGGCAAAATCCCAGTAAGGATAAGGATAAGTGCCCAAAATCCTACCCAGCTAAGAAGG